CCTGCCTTACAAGAACAAGGTCCTGAGTTCAATTCCTGGTACAAAAAAAAAAAAAAAAAACACACAGAAAAACACAGGCGATTGTCACAATGTCAACATCAAGCAATGTTATACTAAACTATATTTACTAATACAAACACAATTACTTCTACATTATTTGACAGTATTGAATAAAATGTACATGAACTCTTCATGGGCCCAGAACACCATACAAAATTAAAGATTCACAGAGCTGTTTAGATGAATTGGCAGGAGAGGAGATCATGCTTTCATTCTACCTGTCAGGGCTTTAGGATTTTGCATAACTTGGCAAATTGTATATATTTTCCATTAGACAAAGAATATGTCTTCTCCACTTGAGCCCTTTACAGTTTGCAAGTATTGTTTGCTTAGAAAAAGAACAAATATATATAAATGTATTGATATCTCAAAGAAAGGAGTATTGGATGCATAAGAGAATTCTATAGTAATTCATTCCATAAATAATGAGCACCCAGTCTATATCAAGCATTCCTCTAGGTGATAAGAATAAAATAGAATCAAAACAAAGAAACTATTTTCATGGAATATACATGGTAACAGAAAAGGAAGCAATAAAAATATGCCAAAATGTATTATAAATAATGTAAAGAAAAAATAATTAAATAAGGAATTTTTTCAGATAGAGGTGTTCCTTGATGAGGTAATATGTGAGGACATATTTAAATGAATTGAAATAAGTAGCCAAAAAGTGTAAATCAAGAATTTGATGCCAATAAGAGATTGTTTGATCCACCAAAGCGAATCCTTAAACACTATACACCTTTTTCTATACAAATAAGTGTCACATGCTACTACACAGTGTATTTTAAAATGTCCAAAACATCCTTTAGCTTAACCTGTGAATTGAAAATATGCCCTTTCCTGTTGTCTATTGCAATGATTTTAGGATCACATGCACGTCCTGTGGCCACAGGGGTGACTTTCCAGCCATCCTGTAACCATGGTGGTGTTTTGTTTTCTGGAAATTTGGCTATTCAGCCAGTAGAACATATGCCTAAAAATACATAATAGTTCATTTTAAACAAAACTATTTAGATTCTGTCAAGTAAATTGTAGGTCTTCATCCTCAACACAAACCTATCTATAGATGTAGTATGCTAGAGAAATATTTATGAGAATTTATAATGAAAAATATTTTATAATTGAGAATTATATTCCTGAAATAGGAGTGTGCATAATGTGTTCAAACAACCAGAGGCCAATGTAACTACAATGCAGTATTCATAAGTTGTAGAAGATTCTTTGAAAAGGTACAAAAATAAAATTGTAATAATACATCATTCAAGATAAAAGGTTTATCAAGAATTCCTAAGTTCTGTGTACAATGCACTTTACTTGTATTTTCTTATGTACTTTTGAATATGAAATTTGTGTTCATATCTACAATTAATATTTCTCTGTGAAATATTTGGCTGAATATCTGTTGTGGCTTGTCTTCTTGCAAGGAAAGTACTGTAGTTTTCTAATGTACAGAGCTAGACCTGCTTTACTTAACTTTATAATGCATTAGTCAGTAGCAATGTTACTTCGAAGGAAAGAACAGTGAACAAACTACAATTTATTGATATTTATACAAATGTTTAAGTAAAATATTTTCTGTTGTTTAAAAATACTATGCAGACTTGTAAATTATTAAATTACCTAATTAAATTTAGAAGATTTTTCTAATAATTGGATCTAGTAAGCCCTAAATATAGAGATAGAAATTCTGTAGGATATTATTAAATTCATCTTAATGTGAAGTGCTACACTACTCATGTATTATTTCTGGCTGTATGTCGAATAATAAACATTTTTTCATTGAGTTTATTCACACTTTTTTAGGTAGAAACTACAGTCACATTCATCTTTGGGATCTTATACTTTTATATGACATTTTCTGGTACTTATTTTGTCCCCATATGCCTGCCCTCCCTTCACCACCTCCACCGTTCTTTACTTACAAAGACTTTGTATCCATTTTTTCCTTTTCTCATATTTTTTTCTTTTGATTTTTTCCTTTTTCCCATCCCTCCCATTTCCCCTATTCCTTTAGCCCATTTCTTCCTATTTCACACTATCAATTATACAATTTGAATCTTATTTGCACTTTCAGTTTTTCATACCACAGAAACTCTTTGGTATTTATATATGTGTGTCCCATTAAATTCACTTAAGAGTATGGTCTCAGTATGTATCCATTTTCCTATAAATAACTCTAGTTTCTCATTCTTTATGGCTGAGTAGTAATCCATTTTATAGAAAAACCACACCTTCTTTGTACAGTCTCCAGTTGATGGGCAATTAGGCTGTTTCCAAGTTTTTGCTAGTACAAACTGTTCAGCTATAACATGGGTACACATATATCAC